GGATCGTGCAACCTCACAATGATGCACTGGTAATATCTGTACTCATAAATGAATCTCGAGTTAAGCATGTGTTATTTGATCTAGGTAGCTCGGCCAACATCATCCGATCGAGGGTCGTAGAACAGCTCGGTCTACAAGATAAAATCGTGTCTGCAGTCCTTAGTTCCAAACGGATTCAACACGGCATGTGAAACTGAATGCCGCCGGGACCATCCAGGAAACCAAGCTTTATGTGATCGAAGGAGGCACGAGGTACAACACTCTGTTCCGGAGGTCATGGATCCACAACATGAGGGCAGCGCCCTCAACTCTACACCAAGTGTTTAAAATTTCCAACACCGGAGGTATTAAAATAATCTACAAAGAGCAGTCAGCCGCAAAGGAAATGTTTGCGGTCGAAGAGGTGATTCCGATATCCGCACTTGCAACGACGAAGGGGCCAAGTTCGATCACAAAGCAAGAAGCTAAATAGCAATTACCGACACCAGCTCTGACCCAATCGAAGAAGCAGGGGACTGATGAAGACGATGACTACGGGGTTCCCAGGTCTTTTATAGCCTCCGATGATTTCGACGCCACAAAATTGACGGTCGAGGAGTTGGAACAGGTCATATTGATCGAGCGTCTACCCAATCGGAAGGTACACCTGGGCACTCGATTAAATCCCGAGCTCAGTAAAAAGCTCATTCAATTTCCTTAGCTAACACAGATTGTTTCGCTTGGTCCCACCTTGATATGACAGGGATCCCGCCGGAGATAACCACTCACAAGCTAAGCCTGGATCCGATATTCCACCCGGTCAACCAGAAGAGGAGACCCCAGTCCGAGGTCAAACATGCTTTCATCAAGGACGAGGTATCTAAACTCCTTAAAATAGGGTCCGTTCGGGAGGTTAAATACCCGTACTAGTTAAAAAACGTAGTGGTAGTCCCTAATAAAAGGAATAAATTAAGAATGTGTGTAGACTATAAGGATTTGAATAAGGCATGTCCAAAGGACTCCTTCCCTTTGCCCAACTTTGATTGCATGATCGATGCCACGGTCGGCCACGAGATCCTCAGTTTTCTCGACGCCTACTCCGGGTACAACCAAATACGGATAAACCCGGATGATCAGGAAAAAACCTCCTCATCACTAAGTACAACACATACTGCTATAACGTGATGCCATTCAGATTAAAAAATACCGGTGCCATTTATCAACGCCTAGCAAACCGAATGTTCGAGGGACAAATAGGAAAATCAATGGAGGTCTACATTGACGATATGTTGGTTAAGTCACTGCGAGCAGAGCACCATTTTAAACATTTGCAGGAAACCTTCAGCATATTGAAGAAGTATAATATGAAGCTGAACACGGAGAAATGTGAGTTTGGAGTCGGATCGTGTAAATCCTCGGATTCATGGTATCCAACAGGGGAATCGAGATCAACCCCGCAAGATCAAAGCCATCGAAGATATCATGGTTGTAGACAACGTGAAGGCCGTGCGAAGGTTAACCAAACATATAGCCGCCCTAGGGCGATTCATCTCGATGTCCTGCGATAAGAGCCACCGATTTTTCTCACTACTGAAGAAGAAGAATAACTTTTCATGGACCCCGGAGTGCCAACGGGCCTTGGAGGAGCTCAAGCGGTATCTATCGAGCCCACCACTGCTTCACATGCTGAAGACAAATGAACAACTATATCTGTACTTGGAAATATTGGAGATAGCAGTAAGTGGAGTCCTAGTCCAGAAAGAGCTAGGTACGTAATTTCCAATTTACTATGTTTGTAGGACTCTAGGTGAGGCCGAAACTAGGTACCCTCACCTAGAAAAATTGGCGCTCGCTTTGCTATGTGCCTCTACAAAGCTGAAAACATATTTTTAGTGTCATCCTATATGTGTTGTGACTACTTACCCATTGTGAAATATAATGCATAAACCCGAGCCCTCAGGGTGATTGGCAAAATGGGTCGTGGAAATCAGCGGGTATGATATTGAATATCGACCCCGGATAGCCATTAAATCTCAAATTTTGGAAGGTTTCATGGCCGACTTTAAGCTAGCCCTAATACCCAAAGTTGAAAGAGAGTTGTTGGTGAACTCGGGGACATCTTCGAGGATTTGGACCCTCTTTACGGGCGGCACCTCGAACACAAAAGGGTCTGGACTGGGCATCGTATTGAAGCCGCCAACATGCAATGTAGTTAGCCAATCTATTAGGAATGTGAAATTGACTAATGACGAGGCCGAATATAAGACCATGATTGCAGGTCTCGAACTAGCCAAAATCTTGAGGGCAGAGGTGATCGAATCTAAGTGCGACTCCTTCCTCGTGGTGAACCAAGTTAATTGGATATTCGAGGTCATAGAAGAACATATGCAAATGTACCTGGACAAGTTGCAGGTAACATTACATCGATTCAAGGAGTGGACTTTGCAAGACGTACCCGGGATCAAAATAGTGAGGCCGATGCCCTTGCTAACTTAGGATCGTCAGTCGAGGATGACGAGTTCAACTCGAGGCAGTCGTACAACTCATGAGATCAGTAGTGGAAGAAGGCCATGCCGAGATAAACTCAACAAGCCTAACTTGGGACTGGAGAAACAAATATATAGAGTATCTGAAGACCGGGAAGCTGCCCTCGGATCCAAAATAATCGAGAGCCCTTCGTATGAAATCAGCCTGATTTAGTTTATTCGAAGATGGAACCCTATTCAGAAGAACATTCGATGGCCCGCTCGCGATATGTCTTGGGCCAGGAGATACCGAGTACATTCTAAGAGAAATCCAAGAAGGCACCTGTGGGAATCATTCAAGCGCCGAATCATTGGTTCAAAAAATAATTAGAGTTGGCTACTACTGGATCGATATGAAGAAGAACACGAAGGAGTTCATACAAAAATGTGATGAATGTCAAAGACATGTTCCGATAATTCATCAACCCGGGGAGCTGCGGCATTCTGTTTTGTCACCAAGGTTGTTCATGAAGTGAGGAATGGACATCGTTAGCCCCCTTCCATGGGCACCTGGTAAGGCTCAATATATATTGTTTATGACTGACTATTTTTCTAAGTGGGTGAAAGCCCAGACATACGAGAAGGTCAGGGAGAAGGAAGTCATCGATTTCATTTGGGACCATATCATATGCCGATTCAGAATGCCGGCCGAGATCGTGTGCGATAATAGGAAGGCAGCAAAGTAAGCAAGTTTCTCAAAGACCATAAGATCAAAAGGATCCTATCAACACCCTATCACCGTAGTGGGAACGGACAAGCAGAATCGACCAAAGAAACCATACTCCAAAACCTTAAAAAGAGGTTAACCGTCGCCAACGGAAAATGGAAGGAAATCCTACCCGAGGTCTTATGAGCATACCGTACGACCTCAAAGTCTAGTACCGGGGCCACGCCGTTCTCACCGGTTTACGGCACCGAAGCTCTAATACCGGTCGAAGTGGGGTAACCGAGTTTGAGGTTTCGATATGCAACCAAAAGGTTCAATAACGAGGCCATGAATACGAGCCTAGAACTGTTAAATGAAAGGTGCAAAGTCTCCCTCATCCGGTTGGCTGCCCAAAAACAACGGATAGAGAGGTATTACAATTGAAGAACAAAGTTTCGACACTTCAATTTTGGGGACTTGGTATTAAGGAAGGTTACGCCAAACACCCGGAACCCGAACGAAGGGAAGTTGGGATCGAACTCGAAAGGTCCGTATCAAATTATCGAGATCACCAAAAAAGGGTCCTACAAACTCGGAGCAATGAACAACGAGCAACTACCGAACAACTGGAATTTAACTCATTTCAAACGATATTACTGATGAGGTACGTCCCCATTCATTTCTTTTATTCATATTTTGAACTAACACTTGCAGGTAACCAACAAGGAATGATACAATTTAAAAGCATGCGTTGAACTCTTTTTCCCTTGAACCGATTTTGTCCCAAATGGGTTTTCCGGCAAGGTTTTTGACGAGGCAACAGTAGATCGTGCTACTTAGAATCGAAGGCCGGTCATTAATCGGTATCAAAGATCTCATCAACAACATCCGAGGCTTCTCTATGCTCAACCTCGAACACTAGGGGGCATTACCCTCGGATAACGACTTTAGCAAGGAAAGAGACTTTGTGATTGAATGGTCTCGGCTCGATCGATAGGATTTACTGTAAGGGCCAAACGGTCAAATGAACCGTACTCGCATAGACTGCTCGAGCCCTGGCACAAAGCTTGTACACATGTGTAACTATTACGCACAAGAATAAAAAGAAGTCTCTACCCTGCGGATAAATATTTTGTCCCTTGAAAATCTTTCTTTTTTAATTTTTTAAGGAATTTCCTACATCCAACCCCCTAAAGGTATCGAGCCCAAGGGCCGCCTTAACCAACGTTCATACAATCACCCCCACTCGGGGACTGCCCTCCAAAGACAAACTCGAACGGCCCGGGCTATCAGAGCCCGGGGGCACAAGACCGATTAGGCAACGCCTGAATCTTAAAGGCTACGACCATCCCTATTCACAGACTGTTATCTTAAGCAAGCCCAGATAACTCGGGGTAACACCACTGGGAAACACCCGAACTAAAAAGTCTACGACCATATTAAAGCGGCTCGGAGATGTCCGGGACCGATAACAAAAACAAGGCCTTCAAAATTTCTTAACCGGTTCTAAAGGCTACACTCGACAAACTATAATCTAAAATATTACAAGTACTTTGGGGAAAAGTTTGCGGTCTTACCAAACCCCCATGATGCCTTAAACAAAATAATGTCGAAGGCAAGGCCTGTTTGGAGCCCCGAACATGACCTAACTATTTCGTGCTAAGGCATTTCGATATTTGCAAATTTAAATAATAAAGCAAAGTAAAACAAAACTCAGAGATTGTCGAAGGAAAAAAAATCCTTGTATTATATATACATATAGTCTTTACAAAGGCCAAGCGGCCTTGACAAAAAGTACAAAAGTACATGACTACAAAAATACAAAAAACAAAATAAATTGTACAAGGCACTTAAACGGCCTGGTCTTCACCGGGGGCCGCCTCATTACCGGGACCATCGGGGTCCTCTCCACCTCCCGACCCGCCGGAACCCTCGGAATCTTCCTCTTCTTCATCCTCGAGGTAAGCCAATTTCTTGTCCTCGGCCTCTCGCCTCTTAGCGATCTGGATCTCGATCGACAAATCAAAACCCTCAGCATGAACCTCCTCAAGGTCCTCCCTTCGGGACTGCCGCTTCTCATACTTGACAATGTCTTTGAAGCGGTCCTGGGCTTCCTCGGCATCAGTTCTATACTAGGCTACCATCTTGTTGGCATCGACCTTGGTCATTTCAGCCACCGCCTTGGCCGCTTTGAGCTCCTTGGCAAGGGCTTCCCGATCGGCAACACCTGAGCCCAGTTGAGGTTGGAGTTCTTTGGCTTTCCGGGACTGTGCCTCAGCCTTCTCCCTCGTCATTCTAAGTTGAGCCTCCGCAGAGGCTAATTGCATCCGAGAAGATTCCTTTTCCGAGACCAAATGGTCCATTTTGCCTTTACACTCCTCGGCCTTGACCTTGATAACGTCCATCTCAGCCCGAAGTTGGTCGATCTGATCGATCTTCCGTTGGACCTGCGGGTTCTGACTGTTAGTCACCGAGTCGTTACTAACCTCAAAGACTTTTTCCTGTTCGACATGTTCTTTCATCGGCACATCCAACTCAACTCGAAGACTCTTAGCCTCTTCCTCGTGTTGCTCACTGAGAAGTTTGTACATGTCTCTCTTCTCAGTAAGCTCTTTGGCTTCGTCCTTGAGGAGGCTCTGCTCTTCTCGGTATCAAAGGAAGGTCTCGGAATGAAGCATCGAGGCTTGCGAATAGAAGGAGAAATATTAAGTTCACTAAGTAACCAAAGCTGGGAAATGAAAAGGTTTGGCAACACCTTACCCGATTCAGTGCCTACTGTGCTTCGTTGAACAAGCATGCGGAATCTACCTCGTTCATCTTTGCCTGGTCCTCTTCAGTCACCAGGCACCGAAGGTAACTAGCTACCCCGATGGGTGCGGCGGGACCCGAGCGTCTTCCGAAATGGAGATAATGACCGACCGCTTCCGACCGAAATTGACACTCGGGGCAGGGAACCGGTTGACCATTCTCGGGCTCGAACTAGACCCACCTGCCCCTGAAGGTGGATTTTCCCTTGGTACTTCTAAGTCACCCAATCCGGTGACATCCTCCGTGGCGGTAGAGTTAACGCCATAAAAAAAGTCTTGGAGGGGATCTCGTTATGTCAATAACACTGGGTGGGACAGAGCCGGCGTCTTGAGGGTTCTCGTCCCCCGCTGTTACATCAGCCTCTTGTAGTTTTGAGGGATTGGCCTCTATTGTTCCCTTTTTGGATGGCACCCATTCCTCGGGGGCCGATGGCTCTCGGGCCACTAAAATTTCATCCTCCTTGGACTCGTCCCTAATCCGGTGGAGTAAGTTCGAGTCAAGCACTCGAAAGCTGGAGGTTTCCTTTGGCTTGCAGACCAGCCTCCTTCTCGGTTTCTTTTTCTCCGAGCTTGGGGAGATTTGAGCCCTCCTCATTTTCTTTTCTCCGGCCTGCCCTGGAGCAGGAGACTCAATAGGCAAGATCTCATCGCCAATCGGAGGCCTAAGCTCGGCATCCTTAGGCAAACCTGAGATAGAAAGTAAAGAGAATTAGGACTTGATAGTAAAGGGGGAGGACTAACACGACCTGATCGGAAATGGGATCTTACCATGAGAACGGGACTCCCAACAGCCCTTCGAGAGTTCGCGCTAGGAACGCTCGGAGTTGGGCATCTGAGAAACGATGCCTTCTACCCACCTCTCGAGTCGAGGAATAGCATTTGGAACCCGAGCAACGACTGCACCATCACGAACACCAATAAGTAAAGGGGAAGTAAACATAAAAATCAACATTCGAAGGGAAATTCCACTTACATTTTGTATTCCACTTCTCGGGTAATGGCATACATTCTGCCGAAATTTGGTCCAAGGTCCTCACCGACAAAACGGCATTGCCAGCCTAGATCCCGGTCCTCATCGATACTAGAGAACGAGGCTTTCCTAGCCTGAGCACAAGCTTTATCAACCCCCCTTGGAATAGTCGGGGATTGTACAAATGAAGCAGGTGATCCATGGTGAACCGGCAGCCATTGATTTTACTCACGAAGAACCGAAGGAGGATCACGATCCTCCGCATTGAAGGATGGATCTGACCGAGGCATACCTCGCACCTCTTGCAGAAGTCTATAATGATCGGGTCCACCGGTCCCAATGTGAAGGGATAAGTGTAAACACTCAGGTATCCCTCGATATGGGTGGTAATGGCCTCCTCGGGGTCAGGTACCATCATTGTTTTTTCGGCCCAGTTGCAATCTATCTGAATCGTAGGGAGGACCTGTTCAGTAATGGAATAGATGTACCTCGATAAGTCTTCGCTTCGGCTCAGTACAAAAGAGCATTTTCAACCTTAAAATTGTTATTTACCGAGCATCCTCCGGGGATGAACATTTTCACATGGGGTTCCTGTGCCAGTTCATCGACGGCAGTACTCGAAACAGTTTTTTCAGCCTCAGTAGCCGGCCGCGAAGCAGAAGGTGTTTCTTTTTTGGGGAACGGTTTTTGACGTCTTTGCAATTTCTTTGAAAAATGGAGGAAGAAAGGAAGTTGAAGGCTTGAGATGGAGATATAAGAAAGTTCTTGCAAAAAATCCCAAATAAACCACAGTATAATTGCTAGAGAGTATCGAAATTTCAAAGATACGAGGGTAGAAGGTTTGGATGTAAAGTTAAAATGAACAAATGAGGGGGTATTTATAGTTTTTTAATGGCGGTCCGCATCCAGGAGTGGCCGACCGGCAACTGACGAGCATTTAATACCATTAAGACTTGACTGAAGAGACATTTCATTTATTTTATCGTTTCTGTCGCGGGGTATCGATGTAAGGAATAAGAAGCTCATGACCTTTCTCGTCATTTACCCTCCGAGAAACGAGGGGACTATCTGTATACGGGTAAAACCGAACTCATGATGCACCTCGATTCCAACAAGATAAGACATGCTCGAGATATAATGGCAAGGAACCAAAATCAAGCCGAAAGTCCCATCGAGCCAGAACCCGGGGACACGACTCCGGCCCTCGGAAATATCGAGGTCGTAGTTCCAGAATCGGTCCTAACCTAGAACAACTTCGAGGAACATTATCGGATGATCGAGCATAACCAACAGAAGGCCGAAGTATCCGTGGCCGGCCGGATATCACGACAGGGATTTCGGCACGTGTCGATAAGAATCCAACAATCAGTTAATCAGAAGATTTTTTACCTTTTATAGAGTTGTACCTAAAGTAGCGCAACCCAAAGCAATATATTATTATTTCTCTCTTAAGCTCTTATTCTATTGTATATTGATACTGATCGAAGGGCATCCAGTTCAAGGGTGGCTGACTTTCCAAGATGTAAATAATCCCATTCGTGTGATTCAAATTTACTTTATCATTATTTATTTCAATTACAACTTAATTTATCGCTTTGTGTCAAGTTAATCCACGTAACCTTAAAACCACTTACAAATTTAGTTGTTATCCGATTTTGAGGGTAAACACCACTATAGGCCGTGATGGCACCTAACGTCACCGCTAGGCAGGCCAATTGTGAACTACCCACTTGATTTCCCATTTTAATATTTTTAAAGTAATTTGTTTTTATTTAATAAGAGAATGATGAATGGCTGATTGTAGTAATGTAAAGCATAAAATAACGAAAGAGTAAAATAGAATATTTAATACTCAAAACCAAATAATATCCACTAGAATATTCCCAAAACCCGGTGTCACAAGTGTATGAGCATCTAGTAGAATATACAAAGCTCTCTAAGAACTATTGTCTAAAACAAAATAGACAAAAATGATAAAAACATAACAAGAGGAGGCTTTGGGTGCTGCAGAACGGAGCATGGGAAAGCATCTCACCAATAAGCCTTCGGGTAATGCAGATACGTGCCCGGATGAACTCCAGATGCACCTGCCTCAAAACCTACACAATATGTGCAAAAGTGTAGCGTTAGTACATAAACAACATGTACCCAGTAAGTATCTATTCTAACCTCGAAGAAGTAGTGACGAGGGGTCAACTTCGACACTTAATAGTGGGCAATATACATAATGTACAAGATTATTTAATAGGCATGAAATACAACGGCAATAATGGAATAAAAGGCAATAATTAAATGATCATTTATCAAAATAACAATTAAAAGTCCCCAAATATCACATATTGATCTCAAAAATTAAGGGCTTAACATGTATTATAAATCCTCAAATCATGAAAGACATATCAAGTGAATCGGACTCCGAGTGACAACACGCACGAGTTATGCCGAGGTCGTACGACCCGATATATGGATGCATCACACACACACACACACACACATATAAACATTGCCAAGATGTTCGGCCCGATCCATAGGAATAGAGAAACTCTTGGGATTTCGAATTTCATATTTACAACTCCAATGTAAGCCCATTAAACGAATATAATTTCCATCAATAATTAAACATTCCGCCAACTCTCTAAAAAATGAAGCTCGACTTATCATAATCTTTAATCAAGTTTTATTTATTATTACGAGCAATTAAACTAGCAAGTTGAGTCCAAATAGTGCATGTAGTAGCATAATAAAGGCTATGTTTACCCGGACATAACATGAATTTTAGCTACGTACGGACTCTCCTCACTTCATACGTACGTAGCTCCAACAATTAGTAGCAAATAATAATTTAAACACCTATGGGGTTAATTTTCTCTTACAAGGTTAGGCAGGAGACTTGCCCCGTTCCCAAGTGCACTTTCTGGTCCACAAATCATTCTAAAAGTCTCAAGTCGGTGCCGAACAATCCGAAACTAGTTAAAGGTTGTACAAACTAATTAATAATTGCTCAAAACGTCATAATTTAACTATTAGAGTGATTACCCATCCCACTTTGGAAGGTTCCTAAAATTTACCCCCGGGCCTGGATTCCGGAACTAATCTTAAATAAATGTTACATAACCTTACGAACACAAATATGTAATTTTCACCCAATCACATAATTATTTTCGTGGTCTAATATAATTTTTATAAAAATCTAAGTTTTTCAATTAAATCCAAATATTACCATAATTTACATGTTAAAATCTACCCATAATTTATGTATTAAGCTCACATTATGAATAAATCACTTACCTCCAATAGCTAGGTGAAAATCCCACTCTACAAAGCTCCAAAATCGGCTAGCAAAAGAGAGAAATAAACAAAAAGGCCAAAATCTCGAATTTAATTAAGTCATTACCCAGGTCCGCCTTCTTCACGATCGCAGACAAGCCCTCGCGATCGCGAAGGCAAAAGTCAAGAACCCAAAAAAAGTCCTCTTCGGGATCACGATAGGACACTCTCAAACGCGATGCACTGAGCCGACTTCTAACCACGAACGTGTCCCTCACTTGCGAACGCGAAAGGCAACTGGGTTGCCCAGGCCCAGGACTAGGTATTCTACGCGAACGGGACAATTCACCCGCGAACGCTTTGGGATCCTTCCGTTTTCAAATGGAAGAAAAGAGATAGAATCAAGCCGATTCCCTAAATGCCTTTCTAGATATTCCTCAATGTCGACAAGTCACCCGCGAACGCGAAGGCCACTGGTCCCAGGACATCGCGAATGTAGCCCAGGCTTCCCAAACGCAAAGAACAACATCACCCAGTCCCCAATTCC